ACGCCACAACAGTCCCCTCTCAAGCCTAAGCCCTAAACTCTAAGCCCTAACCACTAAACCCCTAAACCCTAAACCCTAAAACCTAAAAACCCTAAACTCTAAACCCTAAAGCCTAAAACCTTAAACCCCTAAAACTCTAAACCCTAAACCCTAAAACCCTAAACCCTAAACTCTAAACCCTAACCACTAAACCCCTAAACCCCCAAACTCCTAAACCCTGGACCTTAAAACCCTAAACCTTAAACTCTAAACCCTAAAGCCTAAATCCCTAAACCCCTAAGGCCCCTAAACCCTAAACCCTAACCTCCAAACCCTAAACCCTAAAACCCTAAAACTCTAAACCCTAAAGCCTAAACCCTAAACCCCTAAACCCTACACCTCAGGCCCCGGCCAGCTGGCCAAGGATAGCAACTGCTGTGCCACTTGCTTGTTGCACCACCTGCAGCGGGACGGGAAATGAGTAGCGTTTTTTAGTGTTTAGGGTTTAGGGTTTAGGGTTTTAGGGGTTTAGGGTTTAGGGGTTTGGGGGTTTATATTCTTTATATAAAATACTATACCCCAAAAGGAGGATAGAATCTTACTCTCTAATGGGTACCGTAACATCCCCAAATAAAATACTCCTCAACTGTAAAGTAAACTCGTCAAAGGCACGCTATACAGGGCTTAGGGCGTAGGGTTTAGAGTTTAGGATTTAGGGGGGTCCTTAATTGTTATATAGGAGAACATGATAGGGCTCTTTAAGGGGGATCCTAGGGGTTTAGACTATAGCTGATGTTGGCTTGGGGGTCAAGGTTCAAAGTGTAAGGTCTTCGGCTTTAAGGGATTCTAGGAATACACAAGTACCGAAATGTTAGGTACTTGGCTTTTGGGAAATAGTAAGTAAATGTATACTGTATGCTTGGACCCTCAGGTTTAGGGATGTGGGGTCTGAGATGGGGGCCTCAAGTGCAAAATTCGTGCCTGTTCCATCGAGGCATGCCAACAAGCCGAATGGAGTTCGACAATGATCCGAAACATTATGTGAGTAGTGTTTTTTTGGTGGTTGAACCTAGTAAGATCATGTTCCTTATATAGAATACTATACCCCAAAAGGAGGATAGAATCTTACTCTATAATGGGTACCAAAGTATCCCCAAATCAAATACTACTCATGTAGGGTTTCGGGCTTTAGGTCAGGCTGCCAGGATCCATGTTCATCGAGATATCACTACACTAAACCTGCAACTGGAACTTGTATCCCTGAGCCCCGCGTCCGTGTGCCAGAACGAGGACCCCTCAACATGCGCATCCTAATCCCAAATCGCCACCAACCCTCACACTGGGCATTGCTCATCCATGGGCATTTTCGGTAAGGCCCTCAACCCTAAACCCTAAACCCTAAACCCTAAATCCTAAATCCTAAATCCTAAATCCTAAACCCTACACCACAGAAACCCGAAATCCCAAACCCTAAACCAAAGCACAGGCAACGAACAATCCAGGATGCAGTCCATCTTCTTTAAAACAACTAACCTAGACCCTCCTTCTACCCTCTATTATACCCTAAATACCCACTATTAGGGACCATATACCCCTATTTAAGGGTACATGGAGGGTCCTGGAACATAGACTCCACTGGGGTTTTAGGACCCCAGAGCCTCTGTTTTTGAGTCCTGGACCCTCAGGGAAGAGCAGACCCCGTGAATCATGGGGTCTAGCTTGCACTCTACACTACAGTGGATACTGAAAATCCTGCATAACCCTAGGTGCCCTGTATTTTGGGAACTATGACGCCAAAGTCATAGGGAAGTCAGACAGGAATTTTAGTATGAACAGTAGGTCTTGGGGCAATACGTGGAAAATTTCAAATCCTTGCCGACAATTGCAATCGCCATGATGAAAATTCTCGAATGCCTTGTTGTTCAGTATCGACGCTCAAGACAAGTGAAGGGCCTGATGACCTGATGTACATTCTACGCCTTGAACCCTAAATCTTAGACCCTAAACCCTAAACCCTAAACCTAAATATCCTAAACCCTGAATCCTAAACCTAAATCCTGAACCCTAAATCCTATACTAAACCCTAAACCCAACCCTCAACCCTAAACCAAGGCCTTCTCGATGAGAGGTGCGTGGGCAGACAACCAGTCATCATTGTAGCCAGTTTTTTCCTGGAGTTAGGGTATAGGATTTAGGATTTCGGGTTTAGGTTTTGGGGGCTGCGAGCTTTTGATGTTGGGGCTTCCGGATTTCAGACCTCATAATGTGGTTTAGGGTTTATAGTGTTCAGGGTTTAGGGCCATTGGCCCCTTACTTACAAGTTTAGGGTTACACTCAGAAACGTCAACCCCAAACAGGAAGGTCGCAATCCTTCTGGACTTGAGATAAGCCCACGAGACATTATAAGTTACACAGGGGATCCAAGTACCCAATAAGTAGATACTTGGGGTTTGGGTACTGTAATGATGGTACAGGTTTTGGGTAAGTATATGATTCTTAGGTACTTGGACCCTTGGGGTTTAGCGCTGCCCCCACCAAGAAATTTACATCATAGCGGTATACTATGGCCCAGAATCGTAACCCCGTTACAACCTGTTACCGGATGGGGGCCGTACCCAGCCTATCACAGACACGAGCCGTGTTTTCACATTGTCCAAGGCGCATGCAAGCAGTTCGATTCCTAGCATTCAGTGTTACCCACGTACCTAGGAGTAGAAAGGCTCCCTTCATATTAGCTTTTGTTTGAGTAAGGAAAGTAGGACCTGCACGATGAAACAAATTTGCGGGGTACCCACTCTGGCAATCATGCTTGGGCTGGCAAAACTAGCGGCCTAAACAAAGAACATATTGCTGTCAGGAATAATGTACCATAATCGTATAAGGACAAAAGGGAGACAATACGAAGATTTCCACAACTGTGGCCCAATACAACTGCCGGTTAAACCCTAAACCCTAAATCCCGCACCCGCAACCCTAAAACCCTATGCCTTAAAACCCTAAACCCTAAACCCTAAAACCCAATGCCTTAAAACCCTAAACCCTAAACCCTAAAACCCTATGCCTTAAAACCCTAAACCCTAAACCCTAAAACCCTATGCCTTAAAACCCTAAACCCCCCTACCTCAAGCCTTGCCTCGCCCGCATCATGCGTACGTCTGACAGCCAAGACCCTTTAACTACCCCACTCTGTCATGGCCTACATACGGCTCATAGGGACTAGGGTTTCGGGGATAGGGATCAGGTTTTAGGGTTCAGGGATCAGTGTTTAGGGTTTAGGGATCAGTGTTTAGGGTTTAGGGATGTTTAGGGTTTAGGGATTAGGGCTATTATACCCCCCGACAGAGAATCAAGTGGAAACGAACATGGAAGCTGAAATGGCAACTGGTGTGTGTAGGGGGTTTTAGGGTTGATGCTAAAGGACTCCTGCATGACCCCAAATTGGAAATTATCGAATTCAGCTACTATTATACTCAACTAAGGCCTTGCAAGAAGTTCAGCAGCAGTGCTTAGCAGCTTTGCATCAGACGCGGTCTAGGCTTCAGGGTTGACAGCCCACTTGTCGTTACTGCTTGTGGCTACGACATTGCGTCACTGTCGCCGAACCATCAAGCTTCCTTTTGCAAAGCATTTCAGGGGCTTCTTACAAGTCTGAGGCCCGGTCTACATGAGCCATAATGTCTGCTTCGGGCACCCTGGTAATCTTCAAAAAAAAGGGATCCCAATGTAGCACCCACAAGACTCTAATCCTTGTTATGGGGATCCCAAAATGGGACCCCTAATTTTGGGAAATCCCCACATGGCCCTAACGCCTCCTGCTTCATTTAACCCTAAACCCTAAAACCTGAACCCTAAACCCTCGACTCTAAACCCTCAAACCTGAATCCTAAACCCCAAAACCTAAACCCTAAACCCTCAAACCTGAATCCTAAACCCTAGACTCTACACCCTAAAACCCGAATCCTAAACCCCAAAACCTAAACCCTAAACCCTCAAACCTATGCGGCTCGCCTTGCCGAAGTAGTACCGAAGAGTTCCCCAGGTGTCATCCTCACCTGGGGTTTCTAACCCAAGTAGACCAACACGGTGGATGTTTAGGGTTTAGGGTTTAGGGATAGTACAAATCCTGGGCCCTAAGTACCTTATACCCTGGGAATTGAGGTACTATAGTATACACGGGACATGCAGGATTTTTTGTATCCACAGGAATTCCCAATAATCAGGCCCCTTTAAAAAGGGATAGGGTCTAGGGTCCAAATGCGAAAGACTTAGATACTTGGGGTTAGGGCAATGGCAATTGCAGTGCAGGTTTTTTGGGCAAGAATATTTCAAGTATATGACTAGTATGTACTCGGACACTTAAGGCTTAGGAGGCTGTATAAGGGCATACCATAGGTGTATGTAGACCCCAGGATCAAGGGCCTATAGTTTGGGTTGGGCCGCCACCCACTAATAGTGATATACTAGGAATATGTAAGGACCCTAATGTTGTAACCATTATCTCTTCTGGTCACTATTAGTGGGTGGCGGCCCAACCTATAGTTCCAACCTTGGATCATAATTTCAACTCGGGCTTCAGGGTTTGGGGCTTAGGGTTTAGGATTAACAGGGATGTGGAAGCCCCGCAGAAGCTCATGCTCCCGTGGACTTAAGTATCTTAGTGCTGCTTGTTTGCAACATCTCTCCCCAATAAGTTTGCCCCAGCCTTCTATAGGGGCAGCAATGGGTTCCCCTAAGCCGTAAACCCTAAACCCTAAACCCTAGGTGTATCTGAGTGCTTCATCTACACTTCTGGTGGCGAGCAGCATTCTCGCTTCTTGGGCGGGAAGTACACCAATGTCAAGGCGTGTTTGGGTTCTGAGCGACACAACTCATTGCACTCCTCCAGACGAAAATAGAACTGCGTAAGGAGTAGTTACTTCTCAATGTACACTCGGGTCCATGATGGCATTTTCCCAGCACATGAATTCCCCTTTCTATATCCAGAATACCATATAGTCTCTGCAACTGGGACTCGCACAAGGGGACCTCCAACTTCTGGAAACCCCACGTTGTTTGAGAAGGGTCTATCTGCCAAGAGTGAAATGCCTGCATCGTGGGGATGCGGGGCCTAGGGTGCAAGATCTTCACGAATCCTAGACGTTTAGGATTTCGGGCAGAGGGTTTTAGATGCCGGTTGAGGGTTGGGAAGTATAGGGTGGCAGCATTGTCCTCAACCCTAAAACTTGACCCCTTCAGAATTTCAAGTCTAGGGGACATTGAATTAAGACGCGTGGTGTTGGGCTACACTTGGAATCAGGCTAACACTTATTGAAGCTTCTAGATCATGATTCCAGCCACCTTAAAAGGAAGGGCAGTGAACTTTCGGGTTAACCCTGTTCTAAGGTGCTTTGCTGGACCCCAGGCCTTGCACCCTAAACCCCAAACCCCAGGCTGTATGCATGTAAATATGTAGACACACACACACACACGCGCGCGCGCGCGCGCAGCGCGCGCGCGCGCGCACACACACGCACACACACACACACACACACACCCGCGCACACACACACACACACATGTGCACGGAATCACGCAGTGCAATGCCCTCCTAGATATCAGGTTCCCACGGGATGCTTGAAGTGAG